AATTATTACCATTTTTTATTTATAAGCTCTAAATCGATTAAACATCAAAATTGTTGATTTTCGAAAATTAACTCAATCATAACTCATAAAATAAAAGCGATGGGGAACTATTTTTTATACATAAAACCTTAGTAATGGACCATAAAGACTAGATCCATAAAAAGATTGAACCAAATTATTACCATTTTTTGTTTATAAGCTCTAAACCGATTAAATATCAAAATTGTTGATTTTTGAAAATTAACTCAATCATAACTTAAAAACTAAAAGCGATGGGGAAATATTTGTTATACATAAAACCTTAGTAATGGACCATAAAGACTAGATCCATAAAAAGATTGAACTCAATTATTATCATTTTTTATTTATAAGCTCTAAATCAGTGGTGATCAATCTGAAATATCTATATCTGGGCCTCAGAGCAAAAAAAAAGGAAGGTTACTTTAAACCCTTTGGTCAATCTTGGCAAGACATTTATATAAAAAGTCGATCTTGATCAAAAATTAGTGGACAACACTGTTATAGACCATAAACTAAATTTTGGAGTTGGATAATAATCATAACTTAACATAATGTTACACAATTAACCTTACAGATAAAGACAAACGATCTTAATAATCCTAAACATTTAATGAAGATAGTTAAGGAATGGCTGTTGTATAATGTTCCAAACCAATTAAATTCCTCACCTGAGTCGCCTGATCAAAACCCCAAAAAATATTTATGGGACGAAATTGAGAGAAAAAAGTGAAAAAATAGGATAATCTCCCTTAATGATGTGATTTTGAAAGAGTGAGAGAATATTGATGTATTGTTGATGCAAAATTATATTAGAGCAAAAAGGTACACCAAGATGGTACAAACACTTTTGTGTGATCAAAAAAAGTACATAAATTATCTTTGTTATCTATTTTAATTCTCATTACAAGTATATATTTTAATTTGAAATCATTATTAATCCTTGAAAATATCTAAAATGTTTCATAACAATAAAAAATTTAAAAATTTCATTTCAAAAACTGAGATATTATCATTTTTTTTTGGTTTTTATTGTATCACTGTATATAAAGATCCTAACTTACCTGTACTTCATCGTCTTTTCTAATCGGCATACTTCTAACATTGTACTTTTGTCTCAATTCTTTCGATAAAGGCGATGACATCAAAGTGCGTCTAACATGCGAAGGAGCGGTGAAATGACGCTTCCTATTTTTACTACGCGATGAGGACACTAATTTATTAAGTTTCATCTTGATGAAGTTGCTTTGGTGCTCCTAAAAAAGAAATTAATGTAGAAATGTCAACTAACATGGAAATTTGAGGTTATGTTGTTTTCGATTTTTCATCAAAAATTAATGATTATAATTAAAATGCGGGGGGATTTTAATCGTAAGGGGTCGATATTGATGATTTAAGGATAATTTGATGTTGTTTTTTGAGTTTAAATTAAGGATGATTGAGGATTTAAGATTTAAAGATTCCTTACCGACAGCAACAACACTCACGAAAAACGGAAAGAGAGTTAAGTTAGTTGCGGTTGGTGAAAATTGATTGTGTTACCAACCTAAAAGAAATTTAAAATCAAAAGTCACTGAATTAAAATTTTTTTTTTGGTTAAATTTAAATTTAATTAATTTTAATCATTAAAATTGGGTGAAATTAATGATTAATTAATTAATATAGTAATCATTTTAAAAAATTAAAAATTATTTCTTTATTGATTTTAATTAATTAAGTTGGAATTTTTAATTAAAAAGTTATACTTTTTATTAAATTATTTCAAAAAATTCGATTCAAAAATAAATCCCCTCTCTCAATTTATAGAAAACCGGCTTTAAAGTGGGCTTAATGACCTTGTTGTTGAGATAGAGATGGAAAAAACTTTTCAACAGCACCGCTTACACATAGATAAAGATTTATTCAGCTTCAGTTCATCATCAGATTTTCGTGAAGACGTTTCAAAAAATTTTTATTTCAAAAATGAATAGTTTCAGGCATATTTTATCTAATAAAGTAAGTTCGAAGACAAAGAAATAAGCTTTAAAAAGTTCTCCATATGTTTTAATTGTTTAGGGATCCTCCTCGATTGCTAAAAGATGTGCCCGAAATTTTTTAACAACATCGAAACAATTCCAATCCACCGAAGCTGCCGTTTCCGGTCATTTACCGGTCACCTTTTTGAGCGATGATGAGCAAATGATGAAGGAAACTGGTGATTATAACAAAAAAGGCGATTTAAAAGCATTTTTAACATTTTCTATTTAGTTTCTAGATTAGCAAAGGAACAGATTGCTCCTCACGTGAGGGAAATGGAAAATAATCACAAAATCAAACCGGAAGTTCTTAAAATGTTATTTGATAACGGGGTAAGTTTAAGTTAAAAAAACTTATCTCTATTTTAACGATTTGTTTAGTGAAGACGAAAAAAATGAGATTGGATCAAGTCCAAAGTATTTCACGGACGTAAATGCCCCTGAAAAAGTTAAATTCAAAGGTGCAAAGAGTAAAAGTTAAAAATTTCCTTTTAAAAAAGAAACATTTTTATAACTTTAGTAGTTATTGTTTTGACCTTGACAAAGTAAACGTTACGTTGAACAGTTAAAGATAGCGTGATAAGAAGGTTTTATTAATATTTATTTTTAGTTTAAGAGAAACACTTTTAAAATTGATTCTTCAAACATTTAAAGATCATCAATTAACGTTTTACTTGATAAAAAGATCGACAGATTATGATATCAATTTTTAGAATTTCAGATAAAAATCCATAAAAGTTCTAATTGGATTTAAAAAAAGTAAATAAATAAAACGAATCTTACAAAAAATTAAAATTAATATGTCAAGTCATCGTTTATAAGATAACAAAGACCTTTACACTCAATAATACACAATTAATTTTTTTTTTTGGTACTCTTTTTATAAATTCATTAAGAACAAATCAAATCATAATTAAGGTTACATATCTTCCTCCTCATTATTCTATGTCTATTCCATGTTCATCAAAAAACGTACGATGTTAAATTAACAATTGGTGATATTTCCACAAGGATCCTTCAAGAAATTAATTTTATAACGAATTTTGAATATTATCGATGAAAATTGCCACATCGAAAATTTTATCAAAACTTCAAATATTGTTTTCTCAAAAACTAAAAGTTATTTTTCAAAACGTGTTCGTTCATTGGAAAGAGGACACTTTTATTAACACTTTGGGAAATTTTCAAACTCATATTCCAAGAAAT